AAAAACCCACAACAACCACATGAACTCCTTAGTCTCCATTCCCAACCCAGTGCTATTTTACTTTTCAATTACTTCTTTTTCACTAGAATTTCTCTCAGTTCATCCCAATGTTTATATACCTTTTTGCTTTGCTGGATTTCCCCCCACATTCAGAACCTGTAACTAAGTTCTCAGGATTCAAACAAAGCTCAGCCATTTAGATATCTGTGAAGATTCTCAGTCATCCAGGTGTGGTTATCTGGAAGTTGAGTCATGGCAACTGAACTTCTTGTTAGGTTGAAACGTTTTGCTACTCATCCAAGTAGCTTCTTCAGTCTGAGGAGAGTTGGTAGGAGATCCCTGATATATCCTCCACATTGGTTTCACTCCCCCCCCCATCTGAATAGGCTCCTTAGAAGGACAAAAGACTCAGGGTGAGGGATAATCCTACTTCTGCAATCCTCCACCCATTGTCATGGGTCATTAATGGTCATTAACATGGTCTTTCGGGTGTGTGTGGTCCTAATCTTTCTGGGGACAGATGAAAAGGCAGCATGATAAATAGGAGACAGATTGTATCTAAGGCCTCCACCCCTACTGAGCAAGGAATTTTCTATATACATATGTGTGGCCTCCCTGACCCCTCTCTCAAACCACCTGTCTTCTTGGTCCAAAACAACTGTGCATGTCAAACCCACAAACACACTAAAGCAGACTGATTCACTCAAAATACATACCAAAACAAAACAGGAGCAATCTAGTATATGCGGCCCAATGCAAAGAGGAATGTTCAGAGTTCTGCATTGGATAAACCAAACAGTCACTAAACAGAAGAAGGGCCAAGCACAAGGTGGGCAATGGCTCAGGACCACAATCAGCAGTATTCCTTCATTTGAAGGACAAAGGACACTCATTTGATGACCAAGATGTACTCATTTTGGACTGAGAAGGTAGAAAGTTCAAGAGAGGGGACAGAGAGGCTGTAGATACAATCTGTCCCCTATTTATCATGCTGCTCTTTCATCTGTCTCCAGAAGGATTAGGGACATGCACGCAAAGGATCACTGTTAACAACACCATCAACAACCCATAACAATGGGTGGAGAATGACTGCAGAAGTAGGATTATCCCTCACCCCAAGTGCTTTGTCCTTCTAAAGAGCCTATTCAGAGCAGTGGAAGTGAAAGCAATGTAGAGGATATATCAGGGATCTCCTACCAGCTCTCCTCAAACTGAAGAAGCTACTTGGATGAGTAGCAAAACATTTCAACCTAACAAGAAAGAAGTCCAGTTGTCATGACTCAACTTCCAACAGCCATTTAGAAACTCCAAAAACAGGGTTGAAAGGAATATAAGTTCAAACCAGCATATTTCTACTAGAAGAGTCAGGTGAGTCAGATGTGCATGTTCAAAAGCTGGGTCAAAAGCAGTCCAGGGTCAAAACAGTAGAGCCCAACCTGAGCAAATCAGATGGGACAATACAAAGGCAGGGGCAGCACTTGTCCAGATTTAGGCAAAAGGGCAGTCTGTCAGAACAGAAATATCAGAGGCCACAAAAGGTCTAGCAGGGATTAGAGTTGACAGCTGAAAATTCTTCTAGAAACCTTCTTGCTTACAACTTCTCTTGTGGACACCTTTACTCTTGACAAGCTCACTTTTGAGGAGTATGATATGTTTATTCCGGTAACTGAAGTGGTGCAACAATAGACTGAAAATTTCTCTAAAATTATTACGAGGAATAATGGGGTTATATTACAAGTCATCAAGTCACATCTGACTGGTTGAGTGTCTCTTCTTTGCAACTGTGAATAAACTAGATTAACCTGGCTATTAACAATAAGTAGCTAAACTAGTTTGGATAAGTAATAGAGATGGTGTATTCGTATAAGAATTTGAATATCCCCCCCACAGGTGCAGATAACAAGGGCCCAGCCCCCTGGGGCCAGACCGACCACTCAAGATTCTGCCACTGACAACGGCTCTGCAGAGACCTCCTATCTCTCCGTTGCTTGCAGTGGATTAGCCACTCTGCAACCTGGCAGAATGGCTCGTAATCACGCCTTCTGCCAGGACTTGCTAATCTGTCGCGAGCAATGGAGAGATAGGAAGGCTGCACAGAACCAGTGGCAGTGGCGGAATCATAAACAGTCGGTCTGGCCCCAGGGGGCGGGACCCTCGTTATGTGCACATGTATACGAATACAAATAACCCCATCTCTAATAAGTAATAACTAGCTTATCCAAAGTCTAGAAATAAGAGATGCCTGATGGTTATAAAAAGGATACGGGTATGGTACCAGTCCCAACTCTACATGCTTCCTGTAAAGACCTGTGGCTTAACACACAGTCGTGGCTTAGTTTTCTTCTTAAACTAGGTTTTAATATGTACAGCAGGATTATGTCTGTATCAGCTAACTTTGTTTTAAATTTTGAATAGGCACAATATAACTTGATATTCAAAACTGTCTATATTACACACATGAGTCAAGCCATTGTGACAGGTTATACAGAAAATGTTGCACAAGATGTGGCAGGCCAGCTCCTGGGTGTTATAATTCCTTTGTCTTCCACATTCTTTCCTCATTACTGTATTAATTTGTTGAAAGAATTGGCTGTAGTGTATATCCATGTTACGAACATGGAATGCAATTTCAGTTATGAATAGCAGACTCTTCAGCATCAAGCCTCTTTTGTTGGTCATATCAAGCCTGTATTTGCCATCATTGGCTGCCCTTT